TTTGCATTGTGTGATTAGTGTAGAATGTAGTAGTGTAGAATATAGGTATATACTTGAAGGGTCTCGTATTGGTAGTTGTTTAATTGTTGTAATTGAACGTAAATGCGAGATTGGATTATTTGGGCACTTTATTGATTAATTTCATGTGTGATGGTAAAATAAATTAAATTTTTGTAAAATCATGCAACTCGTGTGTTCGTTCCATCCCTTTAACGGCGAAGAGAAAAGTGTTATGCTCAATTACAATTAATTTTATTGATTCGTACCTAAAGTTCATTTTACGTGTTAAAGTCAGAATTGACTTGTTTTGAGGAGGATAACTAGTGTGTTGGGTTCCAGGAGTTAATTGGATCTAATGAGTCTAGAAAATTGAGAGATTCTGTTAGGTACTATTATGAATTTAAGATTATGGTGGAGGGAATCTAGGAAAAGTATAATACTAACTGAAAAGGTTCATCTATGATCATAGAACTGATAGAACGCTATTGGGTGAACAGTTTCAAACCCCTTACCGTTTATTCACTTTCATGAACCCCAATTTCCTCATCTTTACTCCCAAAATTCATAAACCAGGTATATCCCTAGAAGACATACCGTCTCTTGTACCAATTCACGGTTCAGATTAACAGTGAGATCTCTGGTGGGCCGTGACACCACATTGTAATTAATATTGGTAGGATAAGAGCGCCATCTTTAGAGGCAACATAACCATCCTGAATAATTATTTTAACAATATACAACTTTTATTTAACTAGATTATAACAATTAAATGCAAGATTAACAAAATAAATTCAATGTAAAATATAAAAAACTTCGTTGAAAGATTTTTGGTATGGAATTGTTGCTAGAACAGATATCGCATTGCCTTTCTGAATTATTTTAATATCCCAAACAACTCCCGACTGCTAACCTATCTCAAGGGTTGCAGATACTTACGGATTCCATCAAAAGTGCGGCCCTAAACGCTATTCCTGTAGTGGGTGGCAGATCGATTACCCGAAACGTTCCCTGGTGGTGTCCTGCGGTTAGGGATGCTATAAGAGTTAAAAAAAGAGCACTAAACGTTTTCCGTCGAAGGCCCACCGAACACAACTTGGTTGCTTTCAAGATAGCTAGAGCTAAGGCGCGTAGAATAGTTCTAGAATGCAAAAGAGAATGTTGGAATCGTTATACTTCTACAATTAACCCCAGCACGTCTTCATCTGAAGTATGGAGAAGGATAAAGCTTCTGGCTAATGGCAAGAGAACTGCGTCAATCACTCGGATTATAACTCGAGATGGGTCTACCACTGAAACCCCTCACCTGATTGCCGAAACTATTGCTGAACATTATGAAACAACCAGTAACTCACAAAACTATGAATCACCTTTCCGAGAGAGCAAAATGGAATGGGAAATACCTCTCAACTTTAACACTGCGGAGATACTTGAGTATAACATACCCCTTTCCATGGCCGAGTTGGATGAAGCTCTAAGATGCGCAGACTCAAAGGCGTCAGGGTTCTGACACAATTCCATACATATTTCTAAAACATCTTCCACTAACTGCAAAGCTATCTCTCTTAGACTTATATAATCGGTGCTGGGTCGAAAATACTTACCCTAGTGAATGGAAAGAGTCCGTCGTCGTTCCTATCCTCAAACCCGGTAAGGACCCATTGATCCCGTCGAGTTATAGGCCCATAAGTCTAACTTGTTGTATGGGTAAACTTCTGGAAAGGATGGTCAATAATAGACTGATGTGGTACTTAGAACAAAACCGACTCATAGTAGACCATCAGGCGGGTTTCCGCCGAAACCGATCCACCAATGATCAGTTAGTGTATTTGGAAAGCATTGTCCAGCGCGCCTTTAGAGACAGGGAACATACTGTGGCTATATTTTTTGATCTCGAAAAGGCCTATGATATGACATGGCGATACGGTGTTTTACGAAAGTTGCATAGCTGGGGACTCAGGGGAAATTTGCTCTCTTCCTTGCCGACTATTTGAGAGAGGGAACAATGAAGGTGAAATGTGGAAACGCCCTCTCGACGTCTAAGGTCCTTGAAAATGGTATTCCCCAAGGTTCGCCGCTAAGCGTCACCCTATTTGCGATTGCCATAAACGACATTGCATCGGGTATAGACCCTGCCGTGCACAAATGCCTCTACGTTGATGATTTGGCCATTTTCTGTGCGGATAAAACTGTTGGAAGAATAACCAGGCGTCTTCAACCGGCTCTAAACCAAATAATCAGTAACGCCGAAAACTCTGGCTTTAAGTTTTCCCGCGAAAAAACAAAATGTGTCCATTTCTGTAGGCTAAGAAGACCTCACTATGATCCCGTAGTTTTCTTTAAGGATCGACCCATACCTGTCTCAAGATCTGTTCGTTTCCTGGGTCTCATCTTTGATGATCAACTAAGATGGAGAGAACATATAGAGGGCGTAGTAGATAAATGTAGATTGGTCCTTAACATATTTAAGGTGCTTGCGGGTACCAAATGGGGGGCTGATCCAGACACCTTACTACAAATGCACCACTCCCTGTTACTATCCAAGATGGAATATGGCTGTGTAGCCTACTCTTCAGCGCGTAAGTCAACCTTAGCTAGACTGGACCATCTCCACCATGCGGGAATAAGATACTCTATTGGAGTTTTTCGCACCAGTCCCATACATATAATGCTTTCCGAGGCAGGTTTCCTCCCACTGTCTCACAGAAGTGATAAAATCCTAAGTGGATATGTAGCGGGAATCCGGGCGCAACCGGATCATCCCAACTATAAACTTTTGTTTTCCGGAATTCGCGGTTTTCTGGAGAGGCCCACAATTACTAGACCTGCCGGTGTTCGAGCCCACGAACTATTCGCTGCGATGGGAGTTAATATGCCGTCCGTGTTACCATTTGGACAGGGCGAAGTTCCGCCTTGGATGATCCCGAAAATGAAAATCTTCTTAAAACTGGCGGAATACGTTAAAGACGATACCCCAGTAACGATATACAGAAGCAACTTTCTTGCCTTTCTGGAGGAGCATCGGGACTCAACCATCATCTACACTGATGGATCACGCACAGAATCAGGAGTAGGATGCGCTGTATACGTGGACTACTCGTCGCACGAGTGGACACTTCCGCCTATGACAACTGTATACGGAGCAGAACTGTATGCATTGTGGCAGACTCTGCTGTATTGTCTAATAAATAGAAGACACGTGTTTCTGATGATTTGCGATAGCCTCAGTGTTATGGCCGGGATACGGGACATTTTTTCCCGTGATCCTCTTATTCAGAGAGTACAAGCAATGTACACAAATGTTACGAAGTCCGGTAAGGTAGTGGAATTTGCGTGTATATCCAGTCATGTAGGAATACACGGAAATGAACTGGTTGATGCGACAGCAAAACGTGCAACAAGAGGAACCCGAGTAGATGTCCAGGACCTAAGACCCACGGATCTTAAAGCAGCCCTGAGGCTGGCCATGGGAAGAAAGGCGAAATGGATTCCGCCACTTAAGCTAACGCGTACCGAACGCGTGAAAATACAAAGGCTGCGGATAGGACATACTGGACTCACCCATGCTTATATACTTCGCGGAGAACCTCCTCCCATGTGTGTCAATGTGGTGAACGGATAACGGTCGTCCATATCATATGTACGTGTCCAAATTTTGTCCAAACAGGAACAGCGTTGCAAATATCACCAGACCTACAGGAGAACTTGCGGGAGCCTACGAGAGTAAGAGGAGTGCTAGATTTTCTGAAACGAAATAACTTATTCAACATGGCGGTATAAGTAAAAAAAAAGGGCCAATGACCAAGATGTCGACGCCTTGGAGAAAAAAAAACTCCCATCCCGATTTTAAATTCACAATGAAAATCGAATCTCTCAAAAACTCCCTCAATTTTCTAGACTTAGCACTCACTAGAAATCAGTGCTTATAGAAAACCTATCACCAATGGCCGCGTTATCCCCTTTTTATTTCTTCTATGTTTCTATCTCCTAAAACACAAGTTATTCCCTTTCAGATTATTTTTGTATTACTTGTAAACCTCCCTTTCAACTCGACCAATTATTCTATACTGAGCTTCATATTCCCAACGCCAATAAATACACGATCAACTGATTACGGCCGTTCCTAAACCACCATCAAGCCGTCAACCCCAGACTACCTACAAATTACAATTACGTCTCCCTACCTTACATGGATCCGGTTTCCAATTTTTTTCACAATCTCCTACGTAAACATCACATCTCTTGTGTTTCCTCCCCTGGCAACTTCAATTGAACCTTATTCCTCACTAAAGATGTTTATCTTTTCAACCAGGTGTATAACTCCTGATTGCCCTGCCGTGTATGTACGCCAAACTGGAACCGTTATAATGCACAGACAAAATCCTTAACCAACATCAACCAAAATCGTCCTTTGACACCGACATCCTAAATTTATATTCTACGCCAAATAGTCTAGGCGATAGAGACTGTAACATTGGCAAACTGGACATTTTGAGGTGGAAAAGAAAAAAATGATGGAATATGTTCAGTTAGGTGTTAGAAACAACATATTAAAAATCCCACCCCCCAGACCCTGTGCTAAAGGCTCCAGCCACCCCAACACCCCCCCAAAAACCGTGTTTTCGCCCTTTTTGGCTGATATCTCGCGATCTATGAGGTCTATATGAAATATTTTTAGCTGAAAATATTTCTCGTGAAATTTCATACAAGGTAGATACTCAGAAGTTAGCCTAGGTGTACCTCTTAGCCTAGGAAATTCATAAAAGAGGCTAAAATCATCAATTTTCGTGGCTGTTTGCGGTTTTTTGCAAATATATCGCAACCTTTAGGGCTCGATGAAATATTTTTAGCTGAAAATGCTCCTCGTGAAATTTCATACGAGGTAGGTAACTGAAGAGTTGGCGAAAAGTCACCTTTCACCTTCAACTTTCATGTGTGAGGAAAAAAGTATTTCTATGTACCACAGTATTTTCATATCAAAATATTCACACATTCATTTATACCTCAACGTAATCATTATCCTCTGCAGATTCCACTTCTTCAGGCTCTTCGACGTCCTCTAGTGGTAGTGGATCGTCTGAAGTTACCGACTCGTAGTTCTCCTCGTCTTCCGCTTTACCTGCATGGGTACCCTGAAGAGACGCCGTGGCATTTAGGCATGCTGTTCCATGACACTGGAGGCAGAATTCGTTCTTCAGACCTACAACAAGAAGCATTATGTCAAAAAAAATTTTATAATTAAGTATACGAATACGAGTATATTTTTCTCTCGTATGTCCTAACTCCTAAGTGTCCGGTGGAGAAGGTTTACCTGATTTTCTGAAACTGCAAGCAGTCATGCAACCACGTGCACAGCCACATGAAATAAGTTTGAGGAGACTTTCCTCAGTTTCCTGACGCCTATCACAACGACTTCGGATCCAGCCCAGGAAAGTCTCTTCAAACTTGTTTCATGTGGCTGTGAACGTGGTTGCATGACTGCTTGCAGTTTCAGAAAATTAGGTAAACCTTCTCCACCGGACACTTAGGACACACGAGAGAATATTATATTCGTATACTTAATTATAAAATTTTTTTTGACATGCTTCTTGTTGTAGGTCGGAAATGTAACGAACTCTGCGTCCAGTGTCATGGAACATCGTGCCTAAATGCCACGTCGTCTCTTCAGGGTACCCATTGCAGGTAAAGCGGAAGACGAGGAGAACTACGAGTCGGTAATTTCAGACGACCCTCTACCACTAGAGGACGTGGAAGAGCCTGCAGAGGAGAATGATTAGGTTGAGATATACTTAAATGAATGTGTGAATAGTTTGATATGAAAATACTGTTTTTTACATAGTGATGAAATTATCGGACTTTTTTTAACGAAAAATCGTATGAAAAGTGGTACTATTTTCACGATTCGCGTTTCCATGGAGTTTAGTCCTGTCTATGAACAATAGCATCCACTTTTGAGTGACAGTAAATAGCGAATGTCAACCAAATTATTCAATATGTGGGTTATTATGGATCACTATGCAATAAAATTTCGTGTACAACACGTGTTGAAAGTGTCTTTTTTCCATGAATTTGCTTGATTAACTCGGGCTTCGCCCTCATTAATCAAACTGCAAATTCATGAAAAAAAGTATCACTTTCAAAACTAATTGTACAAATAACTATTTTACGTGAATAAATGGTACATAGAAATACTTTGTTTTACAATGAATATTTCCTCAGTTACCTACCTCGTATGAAATTGCACGAAGAGCATTTTCAGCTAAACATAATTCATCTAGCCCTGAAGGTCGCGATTTATTTGCAAAAAACCGCAAAAAAACACGAAAATTGATGATTTTCGCCTCCTTTTATAAATTTCCCAGGCTAAGAGGTACACCTAGGCTAACTTCTGAGTATCTACCTTGTAAGAAATTTCACGAGGAGCATTTTCAGCTAAAAATATTTCATCTAGCCCTAAAGGTCGCGATACATTAATTGCAAAAAACCGCAAAAAAACACGAAAATTGATGATTTTCGCCTTTTTTTATGAATTTTCTCGACTAAAAGGTAGACCTAGGCTAACTTTTCAGTATCTACCTTGTAAGAAATTTCAAGAGGAGCATTTTTCAACAAAAAATATTTCATCTAGACCTCATAGATCGCGAGATATCAGCCAAAAAGGGCGAAAACACGGTTTCTGGGGGGTGGTGAGGTGGCTGGAGCCTTTAGCACAGGGTCTGGGGAGTGGGATTTTTAATATGTTGTTTCTGACACCTAACTGAACATATTCCACCATTTTTTTCTTTTCCACCCCAAAATGTCTTTCTCGCCTAGACTAAAACAATAACACAACATTATTGTACAGTAATAAAACGTTATTGAGTAGGGAGTAGAGAGAAAATAGCCTAGGTATCTTTATGAAAATAAAACCTACTCAAGTCTTTACGATCATATTCTGACATCGTACACATAACCAAAATTCAGTCTAATTTACATTTTACACTAAACTGAGCAATATTCAAAGTAAATTACATTGTTACAGCTCTTTCAGAGAAGCGTAAGATCCTAATTTGTTACTATAAGTCGGCTAGTTACATCATCTAGAGATCAGATAATAAATGCACAGTAGTCGGTATATGTTTACTTAAAGTTGCGTGAATATATTATTTACATATTAGAAACGAATCCAGGATTACAATCTCCAATTTACAAATGGTTCAGACAGCGAACCAAGATTTTAACAGTAAATTGGCAGTTACAGCTTTGCAGGTATGTATTTCGTAAAATACAAGGCAAAGGTCTTAAATGGTAACCCGTTTGAAATTTTCCAGAATCTACAAGTTTTCAAGTACCAATTACCACACAAGTTGAGTTAAAGGAGCGTAAAAGCTACTCGGTAATGTAATTGACTAGAAATGAGAGTAAACTAAAACGGAAATAATTTTGTTTTGTTTGTTTGCCCATCATTTTAACTGATTCATAGAAGTGTCTCATTAATTACGACAATTAAATTATTCAAAACACCAAACCTAACGCAGCTACTTCATTAATCATTTCAAAGCGACGATAACCCGCTATGATTATAATAACGGCATTATTACTTAAACAAATCTACAAATAATTCTTTGATTTATAGAAATAGTTTTATTAATGAATAAAAAGCGCAGATAAAAGTTTAAAACAATCCAGAGTAATTTAATTACGTCACTTACGCTTTAAATTCTTGCGCGAGTTATGCAAAGCCACAAATGTTTTAATTATTGTTTAATTTGTCATAGCATACCACAGATGCGATTTAAGATACTTTGGGGATGCCATCGCAAAATTGAAAACCGGACCTGAAGAATTTCAAATAATTAAGAGAGTTAATTGGCATGAGATCGACTCTAATTTTATGCCCCATTTCACTCGTACCAATACAGAAAATCTTCATTAGATAAACATCTAAATCTAGATTCAATAATGAAGTTGATAAAAAATTGTAATCGCTGAAAGTGTTGTACGCCGAACAGTTTTAATGAAAACAATGCGAAGAATCTTCTAATGGTGCAATGTTGAAACTTTTATTTAAGCCAATTTAGATAAATATGTGGAAAGCGCATTCTGTTCAAATTATAAATTGTGTCAAGAGTGTGAGGAAATCGACCCAATTTTAGTAGACGGGAAGAATTCCGAAGGGCAAATGTCGGTAGAAGTTGCAAGATAATAGTGAAACCTGGCGAAAAACTGATTGACCAGAAGTAGGTCTGCCATGTTTTAAAAAGACATTTTGTCCAATAACAAAGCCGCTTCAAGTTTCTGGAATCTATAATTGACCAATGCTTTTCCTACCCATACAAGGCGTTCAAAATTAATAATACACTTGTGATTTTTGATTTAAAAAGCACAAAAATTGCTTTAAAACGCCAAATCCATTAAATTTAGATAGGTAGGGGCAAGTGTAATTGGAAAGGTTTATCTAGTTGTAGCATTCACCCCCGAACCACCTGCTACCGCCATTGTAAAACTATAACATGTCCCCCCCCCCCCAACGCGGGCGCGAGTCATAAAATTTTCTTTGCAAAAAATTCTCAAAATCAAATTTGGGTGGCTAGTTATGAACTAATCTTTTAAAAAACCGAGTATGTCCAGTGAACAGGTTGGAAAGGTGGGATTAGGTGGAAAAAAATCGGAAAGTAATGAAACTTTAGGATGGTGTTCAGGGATGTTTAATTACCATTTTCTCAAGTTTTGGAACTCTTTCTTGCAGGAATTTGGTTTAATTTTTTTTCATTGTGTTTCGTAATAAATTTGTGTGTTATTATCAATCAATTAATTGTGTGCTTATTCGAATCCAAAGTGCAACCCAGATAGGGTTTTCATGTCAGATTTTTTTTTATTCGTTCCCAAGATTTAATTCAGGTGTTTATCAAAAGTTGTGCAATAAATTCTTTGGAATTTTCGGAAGTTGATCAAGGCCACAACAGAGTCCCTCAAATTGAGTCAATATTAGAATTTTTTTATTGCAGATGCCAGATGTGCACGAGAGAGGTCTAAGTTTCAATTTTGATTTGTTTTTAGCAGGGTTTTTAGTTAGTTGGGCAGGTGTTTTGTGGGTGGTGTATTGACCTCATACCATTGCACACAGCAATATAGATGTTCAACAAAGAAAAAATACTGATTTAACTTAAAAAAATTCATTACTAATATACTACAGTGTTCACGTGGGCACAGAAGCCAGAGAACTATCGCTGCGAAAAAGTATGTTTTATGCGACAAAACGACCAATTTATTTTTAAATAACATTTTACTATTGTAACATGAGGAAAAGTCTAAGAATTTTAATGGATGTCAAAGTTCTGAGAGTTCTCAAGATTCTAAAAAAACATTCTGAAAGGAGGTTCAGGGTGGATTTAAAAACGATGCCTAAACGAAAATTAAAAGAAAGAGAAAGAAAGCTTATTGTAACGTCCGAAGGAGAGGATTCTACGAAAACTGAGAAAAAGTTAAGGAGAAAACTCCATTCATTTGAACATTTCTTTTTCAATTAAGCTAAGGGTACAAAGTTAAAAAATTAACCTTTTTGTCCATTTTTTCTCAACAAGAGAAGAAAAATTTGAAATCACATTGTGATGTTAAAAATATTTAATGAACATATCACACGATCGGTAGAATAGGATGAATACAACTGTCAAAACGGGTTGAAATTAGTAAAGTGATTTTTGTTGAAGCGAATAGTCTTATTTCATTGACCACAGCAATTTTTACTTCAGTTTTTCACTGTGCTTGGTGACCGCCAAGTGTCATTTGTAGCCCGTTTCGATTTTATGACTCGGCGACTACATTAGGAAAAATTGGGTGGGAGAGAGAGATTCTTTGCTGAACCATGAAGGCGAACCTATGTCAGCCGAACGCGGTATTTTAGTATCATTTATTTTCAAGTAAAAGTTTCAAGACGAATTCATACGTGAGATTACAGCCACAGTACAAGGAAAAACTGTGCCGCCAATTCGACGAAATTATTGTGTATGCTTTTGAATCCTTTACAAGTTGCAATTACAAGTAAAATCTCGTTGTGTAGAGGAATCGGCA